TTTAATATAGCCTTCTTTATGGCGGTGTTGCCCAAAGAGTAATTATCGGACCAGTAATTATTGAATCCAGGAACACGATTGTAGCACATTACAAGAGAAACTCCTAATACAATCATTATTTCATGATAATCTGTTCCCATTCTCTTTTTCTTGGTAACCTTCTCGAATATTTTCAATCTGGCATTTGTGTATTCAGCAATCTGCATGAGTAGGCTTCTAGGAAAAATCTTCAAGAAAATTTCAACTTCCTTCATTTGTCTCGGCAGGTAAGAAGTAGCTGCTGCTTCGTCAGGTATACATCAGTGGAACCAAGAAGAAACTTTGCCTTCGAATTTTGTTTCATTGCGTGAAACAGGAGGGTTTTCGAACAGTAATGGACTAAACATTAGAGCAAAATTAACAGATTACTTTATGTCTACCGTTGGTTCTACCGATGTGTTTCTTCCTCATATTACATAAAATTTAAAATACATTATTTAAAAATAACTCGTCTAACTCTTACCTACTTGCGTATCAGCATCTATCTCATAGTTCACATTTCCATATTTCAATCGTTGAACTTGCACTTCATTATTAGTATATTGTGTGATTTTATCTAGATTTTCTTTTGTGAAACATAATTTTCAAGCTTCAGTTTCCGATTTTAGATGTTTTGCCTCGTGTTTGTTTCCAGGTAAATGCAAGACAAGATTTCTTTTTGGTGTACGATGAATTGTGCCTTTCTTCCCTGACCACATAAACCCATTTTTACTCCTTAGTTTGGTAGGAACAGGTAAAATTTACACCGTCTTTATGTTAGTCGCCTGTATTTCTGCCAATGGTATATTGTCATCGTCCGAATCCGCCTCAGATGGCGAGGTATCCTGAGTCTGATCTGGTGTGGCAGAAGGTGTGGGATTGGAATTATTGTCCTCTTCGGAATCCTCTCTAAAATCAGGGATAACGGCATCTACCTCGTCATCCAAAAAACTCTCTGATTCAGACTCGTAGAGAAAGCGATGAATTTCCTCTATGTCTTCAGATTTTGTAAAGTCGAAGAATTTTTTCTGACCAGCCCTCATTTGTGTATTCCTAAGAAAAAAAATCTATATGGTAACACCTAAAAAAATTAACTGCAATAGTTTCAAAGTAGTACAGAACAAACAAACAATAAAGCAGATATTCACTCTTGTGTTACTCAGTTGTTCTTACCCTACTGTTTATCCATGAATCCAGTAATGGAATCAATTTGGTCCATTGAGCTTTCTGTAAATTTGCATCCCATCTTTGTTGCCATGAGTCTTTTGTTCTCTGTCTCTCGTCGTACCGTATATCCACTATATTTCCTCGTCTTCGATATATCCTACCTCTTTCCTTTGCCAATAAATCGATAGGTATTATTCCTGCTATTACCACTATCGCTTCCATTGAGTCCGTCCTGTACGAGGAGACGACTCGCAGGAGCAATCTTCTCTGTGTTGCTAGCATCAACCTGGAGTATGTCTGAATGTCCATTGCTGCAGCCCAGATGGGAGCACAGTGTAGTAGAATAGACTGAGCACAGTAATTTCCTTTTCTCGAATTTCGGTCCTATAATGCTAGGTAGTAGCCTTCCTAATGCATTCACCAATTTTTATGTCCTATGTGGGCATTGAAAATCGTCTTGTCGTCCAGAAAGATTCCAAGACACTTCATGTTTTTCCGTGGTATAATCTCTGAACCTCCTATATCAAATCTGATCCCTTCCCTGTTTCTAGGTCCTTTTACGATAACCGCTTCCGACTTGTGGGGCGCAATCTCAAGGTTGTTTTCTGTCAGCCAGTTTAGTATCATCTCAAGCTCCACATTTGCCCTACCTACCTGGTGATTAGTGCAATGGTATTTGCACTCATCACCAACGATGAGCCTTGCAGTTGTAGCCAACGACCTTGCAGTTGTCCGGAAGTGCTAGCCTTAATACTGGGTCGTATAACACGTTTCATAATATAGGGCCCAAGACAGATCCCCGAGGTACCCTTTTGGTAGTTGTTATCAGACTTTGATCAACCTTAATTGTTCTATTACTTAGGTAACTTGAAATCACATCTACCAGGTATTTTCTCACTTCAATCTCGATGAGCCTTCTGCGTATTATGCTTCAAACCGCTGAGTTGAATGCATTTTTAACATCCACCGCCACTAAGGCTGCCCACGTTAATCTTCTTTCTTTAGTAGGTTCAATGATTTCCGCTACTGCATCCACCGTTGACTTCTCCTTCCTGAATCCAAATTGATATTCAGAAAGGCCCATCTTATTCTCAAGTTCTGTCTCCAGTCTACTTTTAATCAGATGTTCGTACACCTTACCTGCTGTGCCTAATAGATATATTGTGTCACCTCACAAACCACAAGAGGAGACTATAGCTCCGTCTAGTTGGTACCAACAGTTTCGATAATCTTCGAGTGGCAGATTATCCACGAAACTGTCTACAGTATTCTCCAAAATATTCAGGTAGCTTCTGGTTGTTAATGACTCCTCGTATATCACGTACCTCAATTTGTTGTCCATCAACATGCAGAAGACATTAAAACTAAATTTTTCTTGAAATCCGAGCAAATTTTCACCCTTTCGTCATATTTGAATGTCTTTGTGGATAAAACTTCAATAATATAGTTTGGCCATTCACTTTGATGTCCAACCACATCTTGCATCAACCATAACGCATCACCTATAAAATTGATTGGAAAATTATAATTTCAAAATGTACCTACAACTCATACTCACTAGGATTATTTTGCGGAATATAAGCTTATGTCAGTTTATTTTTTAAATCCATCTTACCTTAATAGACTACCATAAACCAATTTACGAGCTAAAGAATGAAGGCAAAAACATTTTAATTACTTTAGGAATATTGACTGCATCAGTCGTACCAACCATATCATTAACCTTAAAAACGTAAAATACAGTGATATGTAACCAAAAAGCAGCTCCGTACATTTTTTAACATTTTTATAAGAAAAATTGTAGATCATAATTACAAGTTCATTGCAGTAGACGTTGGCTCTTATGGCAAAGAAGGAGATAGTGGAATATTCGAAAAATCTCAAATGGGACAGAACATTATGAAAACTGAATTTAATTTTCCAGAACCAACAAATCTCCCAAACTCGAATATCCCTTTGGAATCTGATTTATTTTTCTTATACTTGTGATATATCTGAGGTCAAATTTTATGTAAATGTGGATACTATATCAAGAAATGTTAGTTTTATGAATGCAGGTTACGCCCTTTTTACGCTAAGGGCCGGGACATATGTGTCCCATTAGACATTTTAGGCGGGACATATGAAACCCAGTATTCTCGAAAAAAAATTTATTTCCTTTCAAATTATATTGGACAACATATAGAACATTATTGCAGATGGTGAGGAGTGAAGCATTTTTTTTTGTTCTTACATCTTTTTGCATCTGCAGCAGCGACGTCTTGTGGGGCCCTCAATAGGTAAATGATCGCCCACATTTTGATGTTTTCGTTTTTTCGAACTAGGTCGCCCTAAAGATGTTGCTGATTTTCTCTTCACACTTGCCCCACTTCGTCCCAACGCAATCAACTCTTCTGCTATTGTAATATGAACATTTCTTGCAGCTATCATAAGGAGTTTGAAAAAAACTTTTTTCCACCACTTATTTGATCTTCTGTCGAAGTCGTATAAGCCCGCATATTGATCGGTTAGATCTACTCCTCCCATATGATCATTATAAAACTTCAACATTGTCGGACTGGAGAATTCTTTCTTGGTGCTATCTTTCATAGTTCGTCTTACTAGAGTAGTTTTATCAGAGAAGCAGTTACTGATCGCCAACACTTCTTTTATGTCTTGCCATCTGCAAACTATTGTACCGTTTTCATTGAACATAAATTGATTTTCTCCTCGTTTCAAGTTTCCAGGAAATTTGGGAACATTTTACGATTTCTTATCAGAGTTCCGACAGCAGGAAACTTGATAATATCAAGTAAGTTCACAGAAGAGAAAAATCTGTCAAATGTCAATACGACATTCGTAAATTTGATACTGCCTGATAATTTGCGAACAACTCTTTCGCCAAGTGTCCCTTCAGAGGCTTTCTCTTCTTTACCTGCATAAATATTTAGGTCATACACATATCCTGTTTTTGAATCTGAGCAAACCCAATTTTTTATGCCACGTTTTATAGACGTCAGTGGTAAGTACTGTTTCAGAGAAGATCTCCCTTTGAATTTGGTCATTGACTCGTCAATACTTTGGAAAGTAGAGTCAGAACGATATTTTGTGAATGTGTGTTTGAGGCAGTTGACAACTTCTTCTATATCGTCGGTCCCGTGCCAAAACCGCGAAAGTGCTTTTTTCTAGTTTTTCAGGAGAAGGAAAATGAAGTTTAATTCTTCACTAAAAATCACAGTTAATTCTATTTACGAATGTTTTCTGGTAAAAATATCTCAAATATATCTTATTTTCGTACCTTGCTTAAATTTTTTTTTCTCAAAGAATTTTTCCAAAAAAAAAATGCACATTCGTTGTTTTAAAATTGGAAAAATTTTAATTTTTCTTTATTCGTGTGGTAAGGCTATTAATAAAAATATACGTTGTAATTAATTTTTTAATTTATTTTGACATTAAGAACGCAAGACAAAAACAATAACAGATTCGTTCTGGTTCCTCATCTGGTTCCTCAAAATCTGGTTCCGCCAGCGCATCACGGACATCCTTGTTTGTCTTTAGAGAATTGTAAAATTCATGATATCCTTTTGTTATGGTGTTGTCCTTGCACATCGTTTGCAGATCTGCAAATTTTGGCACTGAAATTGGAAGAGTTGCTTTGTAAGCTTTCAAAAGAGTTAGAGATTTGGGGCGATCCCTTATTTTCTTTACTGCAACTTCTGTAAACTCCTCTTGATCAAAACTAGTTTTGTAAAAAATCTTGTCAGGATATTTTTTGTCATAGTGCAACCAACAAATAGTTTGTATAGGAAGTTTCTTCTTTGCAATTATGTTCTCTGACAACGTTTTATAATCATAGAAATCGTCAAAAGTCATTGTATGGACCTTGTATGGAGCTGGATTTCTACGTGAATCCCTAATAAGCTGAGCCCAACCCTTAGGAACATAGACAGGAACATTTTTTGATTTTACTTCAATTTTTGAATGAATTGAATCGCAACTTGGGATGTTTCAGCAAAAGTTGCAAACACATAGCCATAACTATACTGTTTTTTTGTTGACCTCCGCAACCATCTGACATCATCCGAACTGCGGTTATGTTTGGATGAGCCATTACATAATCAAAAATAATTGTACTTATTTCATTAGATCCCTTTTTTCCTTGAGTTTCATCCCATAAGTAGCAATCCACGTCTTGTGTTACTAGATCATAGACAGTGAAGTTATATACAGCTAATTTTCTCAGGTAAAAGATTTGACCTGCTGATCCTTTTGGTGTGTATAAGACTGCTTCCAAATCTGAATTGAACGCCAGTATAGAAGTGTCTGCTTTAGCCAAGCTCTTGTCCTCATCTCTACATTTTCGAGCATCGTTCTTTTTGTTTATATGTTTATCATGACATTCTTTATTCAATGCCTTCTCTTCTTCTGTCATGGTGGAATAAGATAAACATTTTTTGCATTGGTCTTTTTTCGGCTTGTAAAATCCCAAATTATATTCCTTGAAGACATTTCTGTACTTTTCGTCTGACACAGGTTTTCTGTTTTCTTCCATACACTTTTGTTTGTACATACGGTGCATAATCGAAATGTTTAATGTAGCATCCAAATATTTTTTTTAGAGGATTGTCTACAATAATGCGACTCTACAGCCGGAAATGACAAAATATGGTTTCGCAAAAATAAATCGTCTGCTTCGTCCAGCTTATTGTGAGGTGGGCGTTTTCCACGTTTATCTTTTTCCAAAACACCACTGGCATTAGTTTTTTTTAAGCAGCTTCTAATAAAGGCGTCAGTAACGTTTAAAGTCGCCATAAAAAACATTCTGCACACAGATACCCGTTGTTATTTACTGTTAACGAATAATGATTCGTGTAGTGTTTTCTGGAATTCTCAATATTTCTTGTTGTTCTTTTCTTGAGTTTTTGTTCAACGTGAGTTACAACAAACTGGCGCTGATCGTCTATATTTTGAAATGATCTGAATTCGTTGTATATTGTTTTTCTATCTTCTTCTCTTATAAGACCAGAGCACTTGTGTTTTGATTTTTCCAAACACGGAGAAGGTAACATGGGACGACTGGGATGTATCTGGTTTTCAAACCCAACGTATTCTCCTTTTAACCGTTTACAGTTTATTAGATTTTTTTTCCATCCGGACACATTTCTTTTTCTTTTTTTCTTCACCTCATCTACAAAAAGAACGGTTAAATTACAAGTGTTTTAAAAGTATTATTTAAATTACCACTTTGATCTGGTAGGTCTGCCTCCACAACTTCCACGACAATATTGTCATCTCCATTCAGTACTGTGATGTCCACATTACGATCATCAAGATCCGAGTCAACATCGCTTTCGTCACCTTCACTTGAAGGAAGATACTCGTCTGAAGAACCTGCTTCAAATGGGTCTTCATCGGTAGAATTATAATCTCGAGCATAATCAGCTGTTTCTGAATAAGCTTGTTCCCCGCTACCGCCTACAAGAAGAAAAATAATACTAATTTTTACACCACACGTGTTGGCGTTTTTTTTTATTCAATTGAGAGATAAAAATTATTAACTAAATTCAGATACGGGTACGAGTTTCATTATGTTCCATTAACTTACCAGGTTGAGGTTGAGCATCACCACAGGTATTCCTTTTTTCAATAACAACATTATCTAGGAAAAAAGTTAGGTTAGGAATATTTAAAGTTCAGACAAAAATATTAGCACACTTACCATCTTCTGTAATATTAGAACAAAGTTGCATTATCCTTTGTGTTCGGTTCATTTTGGTAAAACACCGCGAAATTATAATTAAACAAACAAGCAGTCACACGTTTATAAGCACGATGTTTTTGTGTCTGTTCTGAACGCGAATATATCACACTCAAATTGTTCCAAAGCCAAAACAGCGAATGTGCCACATTCATAGTTTTGGCATTTGAAAAATAAATGAATTTTCACATACGTGATATCACAATCCTTTATAGCAGGCAACACATAATACATATCATATTCGCTGTTTTGGCATTGGGTTCTCTGATAATAATTTATAATTTTCCAACAGAAAAGCGGAAACCTTAAAATTATCACATTCGCGGTTTTGGCACGGGACCGACGATATAATATAACTTTCCTGCATCGGTAGGCTTCTCAGGGTAGTTGAAATACATTTTTGATAATAATAATTTGCAGCGATCTCTGGATATTTATTTATTTAATTTATTTGTATTTATTACCCATACAGTCCATTAAAGACTAATTACATGGATAAACTCTTGGCAAATACACTACAATAATAGCTATTAAATATGGATCTAGATTACTAAACTATTACTTACTGATACCAGACTTGTAGGGAGTCGTCCATAACTGCACTGAGTGGATTCGTCAAATATATGTTTAGTTTGATATAGTTGAATTCAATATTTGTTCTAAAATTGTTTTACGAAAAACTGATACAGATAAGGTCCAATCTAAATCCATAATTAGATTGAAATTGTTTGCTAATTTAATCATAGCTAAAAGAGGTGCTCTCGATGATGTACATATTGCAGAGGTATTAAACATTGGTGTGGAACGTATACACCGTGGAGGTACATTAAATGGAAGCATATTGAGGATTTCTGGGGAATTTGTTGAATTGTTTATTAATTTATACAGGAATATCATTGATTTTAAAGTTCGTCTCTGGTCTAAGGATGGTATCTTGAATTCCGATCTTAATTGATATGTCCTGACGGTATTATAATTAGGCCACACGTGGTACTTTTTAAAATACAAATATCTCAACAGTTTGTTTTGTACTTTTTCCAAATTATTTAGATATGTTTGATATTCACCGGACCAAATAATTGAGGCATATTCTAGTTTAGGTCTGACCAGGGAATAATATAATAATTTAATGGTGTTAATATTGGCAAAATTCGATGTTTGTCTGATAAGAAAACCTAAAATTCGATTATCGGACTTGATCTTGTTATTAATGTGAGTGGAAAAGTTGAATTGTGAATTATAGGTAACACCAAGATCCTTTATTTCAGTTTTTCTCTCTAGGATCTCTCCCTTCATTTCATATTCAAACAGAATTGGCTCTTTAATACGGGTGATTGAGAGTACAGAACATTTTTTTAAATTGAAATATAATTTATTTCTTAGACTCCAATCCATGGTTTTATCAATATCTCTCTGCAGACCTATACAGTATCGGACAGTTTATATACGTTTGAAGAGTTTTAAGTCATCTGCAAAAAGTAAGCACTCTGAAAATTCAAGAGTTGAAGACAAATCATTAATAAAGAGTAAAAACAGAAGAGGTCCTCGGTTCGAGCCTTGTGGAACTCCAGAATTAGCCAGAAATTTTCCTAAAGTATTTCCATTTTATGTTTGGCCCTAAAATATCGTTTTTGAAGATAATTCTTCATCAATCCTTAGCCACTAAGCTTTTCTAGGAGTAAGTCATGATGCACCTGATCAAATGCCTCTCTGAAGTCCGTAAAAACAATATCCAACTGTGATTTATTTTCTAACGTGTCAAAAACCTCATTACTTAACCCTCTATTGCACAAGATCGAATTTTTCTTCAAAAAAAATTTCAACTGTGTATTTCGGCTTGTTTCGGCTTATTTTCAAAACCTTTACATTTTTAAACTTGGTTCCCAATTGGGAACATTGTACAAAGAAAGAACAGTTATAATTTGAAATATTTATTCTCACTGCAGTGAATATCAACAATGATACTCTACAAAACATCTTTTTTCATCGTATAAACATAGGTATACTTTACATTTAGAACAAAACATTCTACTTTTTCCATTGCATCCGTCCAATCGGCAACGATTGCGTTGTTGAGAATGTTGGGGCCAGTGACCAGTTCCGTCAGTTCTGGTTTCAAATGGAGGAGAAGACTCTTTATGCTTCCTTTTTTTATATTTTGACTCGAGAGATGTATTGCTTGGTCTACCTCTCTTATTGCTCACTACATTACTAGATCCTATTGTAGTCAGCACTTTTGCTAACTCAATCCTGAACTGTAAGAGAGGCATTTTTCCATGCCCATCTGGCTGGTCCTGATTGTGGTGTTCTGAAATGCGTCTGTACAACAACCAAGCATTACATATGACCACATCTATCATATGGAAAAACAGCCTATGATACCATTTTTTAGATCTAGTACGAATTCTGTATAATCCAAGTGAGGAGTCAAGAAGATCTACCCCTCCCATATGTTTATTGTACACCTTTACAATGTCTGGGCAGTTGATATCTTTCTTTGAGTTATCAGATTTGAAGAATCTTGGAACCTTGTGTGACGGCTGACTACCAGCAAAAGTGGATAGTAGTGTAACCACTTTATTGTCATACCACTGTAGAGCCTTTAGCTGTTGATTTTTGTATGTTGTTATTTTTTCAGTATAGGAACCTCTACTTCTTTCTTTCCATTTTTTTCCTGTAGGAAAGCTGCACCCCATCAACCGGTTTGTTCTAACAGTGCCTACACAATCAATTCCATTCTGTGACAAGTGACTGAACAAAGGAATGCCTGTAAAGTAGTTATCACAGTACAATTTGTGATGGAGATTTTTTGGAATGTTTCGACTCATCCTGTAAACAACATTACGTGCAGAACCAAAATCTTGCTCCCCTTTTTCTGACTTTGCCAGTAAATAATTCAAAATCATATGAGAAACCACTGACTCCTGAAAGCACCCACAACTTATATCCCCACTTATGTGGTTTCTTGGGATTATAGGTTTTTATAGAAATTTTTCCCTTGAAGGTTACTATCTGTTCATCGCAGGACAAATTTTCTTCCATTGGAATTTTGCTACACACTTGTTGAATCTGATCGATGACAGGTTGAATTTTTTCCATTTTGTTTTTCATTTGCTGATTATTATTGAAATGCAAATTTCTCTTTATTTCGGGAAAACGGATCTGTGGCATAATATCCGCAACTTGGGAAACACGCGTGTTTGCAGACCAGTACATTCTTGTGCTGGGTAGTTTTATAATCGACATCCAGAGTAAAATGCCAATGAATTTTTTAATTTCATCAGTTGTTGTTACAAATGGGCGATTTGGATTGGATTGAACCGAATAAAGCACTGTCATATCTACCATCAACTTCATGAATTCATCCGTGAAAAATAAATTGAAAATTGCATAAGGAGTGCATAGTTCTAAAATTTCCTGTGGTAAATCAGTAGAACCACAAAATTTCACCTTGTCGTTGTCTGTGAAAGTTTGATTTTCTGTCCACTCTAGCTTGCGCACTTTAGAATTTGCAGAAGATGTGGCGTTTATGAAGTTACTTAGAGGTAGTTCATCTTCAGATTCAAAATTTGTCAATGTTTCATCCAAATTCTGGTATTCTGGAATGTGATTGTCTTCATCTGCAAGGATTGAATCCTTACTATCACTCGGTATACTCCTAATTTGATGAGAATGGTCACTCTTCCCATAGAAGGATTTCGTGGTGATGGATTGCCAAGTTTCATCCATTTTGTGTTTTCAACCGCCTTTACACAGTGTTCCCAAATGGGTACGATTATCTAAAATCAAATTTAGCGGATCAGTACTCATAAAGTAATAAAAAATAGTAAGTAATTCCCATAAGCAGGTTATAATTCACCCAAAACTATTTTTTCAACGCAAAAATTGCTTTCCAAATGACAATAACAACCCCATATATCGGATAACGTCAAACGTCCATGACACGTTCTCCTATTTTAATAGTTACCAACTATGTAGTGCCCTGCCATCTACGAATTAGTAGATGAATTTATTAAACAACGTTCCCGAGAGGGAACTACGGTCACACCACGCTTTAAAAATGCAATTTGAAGGAATTGAGATGATTTGATGCACTTGGTTCCCAAATGGGAACCGAATGCATTAGAGGGTTAATATCAATAGATTAGTGCTGATTGTTTTTTGTCTCATGAATCCGTGTTGTTGTGGTACTATATATTTATGAGTGTAATTGCTGACTTTGATAAAAATGATTTGCATAGTTTCGCTGGAGCACACATTATGGAAAGTGCCCTATAATTTTCCACATCCATTTTGTTTCCCGACTTGTGTATTGGTATTGTTATAGAAGTTTTCCAAGCAGTTGGGAATGAACCAGTTTTAATGATCAAGTTGTAAATATAAATCAATGGAACTTTTAGCCATTCACTATAGCCTTTCAAAATATAAGGAGGAATACCATCTGTACCTTCTGCCTTCTTGGGCTTCAGTTTTTTCATTGCTGCATTAAAGTCAGTCTCGCAAATAGAGTCTATGTTAAATGATTCATTACAAATTCCTATATCATTATGTGTATCTTTGAAATGCATGTTATAAGTTGCAGGTTCGGAGCAAAAGACTGATGTGACAACCCTTTTTTTCAGTTTTCAGAGGGCAAGACCCCAGCGTTAATGTCGTATTATTAGAAGATTTTGCGGCCGTTGTAGGTGTGGTTGTAGCAGGTGGTTGTATGGGAATCTCTTCAGCAACTAACAGCCCCCTTGCAGACTCAATGGGTTCTTTGATTGTTGGATGTATTCTAGGATCTGTTGCTTCTTTCATAATATACACTAATGTCGCGGCTCTAGTAGGGAGGTGAGAAATAAAAGTTTGATGAAACAAGTTAATGAAAATTAACTGATTTTTAGATCTATCCCGGAAGAAAATTTGGATAAAATAAATACAGAGTTAGAAAAAGACATAATGATTAGAGCAATTCATGACGTGAAAGGAATTGATATGGGCAGTTATTTGGTTAGATATAAAGCAGAGCTGGATTTTGATGGAAGAGAGTTAACAAGAGCATATTTGGATAAGCAGAATCTGAATGATTTGTTGGAGGTAATATAGTCGCAATAATTGAACAAATTAAACATTTTATATAGTTATTCGAGTGCTATTTATACTCATATGTGAATGATTTCAGGAAATCAAAAAAATTGACAACATTGATAAATTGGAAGACTTTATGCTCGTGCATGGAGAAAACATAGTTGATATGATGGGCGGTGAAATTGATAGGATAGAATTGAAATTAAGAGTAAGTAACCTAATCAGGGAAAGCAGATTTTTTCATTTGATTCAACTGTTTCAGAAAAAGTATCCAGAAATACGGCATTGTGATCTAGAAATACTTTAGGCTACTTAGTCTTCGAAACACATTTTAGGTGTAAATATTTATTAATTTATATTTTTTCAATTCAGTATTTGTTGAATTTCCCTAAGTACATCCAAAAAACTTTTAAATGTTTGTATATGAATAAAACCGGTTTTGATCATCAAGAGTTTGTATTTGTCTTTTTTCATTCACAGTTTTCAAGGATATTCAGTACGTCAAAATACAACCAAAATCTCTTTCATATTTTAATGAACTAAATAATGAACGTTACAACGAAAAATAACATTTTTTTAAAATTTTTACCCTTTGAACGTTTGCTTCACTCCAAATTTATTTTTCTGTTTTCCAGCTCTACAATTAACAAAAATTTCTTTATGCCTTTTGTAAAGAAGTAATTTTTGAAATCATATTTTTTTGATTACAAAAACAAAAATGTAAAGTCTATCCAAATCCAAGATAGAGTAAAACAAAACAAAACCGACGCGTGATGTTCACGTGATCGCCCAGTGTCAGATGGAAAGGACAGCGTTCATTGGTGAATTCGGCCTTTTGTAAAGAAGTAATTTTTGAAATCATATTTTTTTGATTACAAAAACAAAAATGTAAAGTCTATTCAAATCCAAGATAGAGTAAAACAAAACCGAAGCGTGATGTTCACGTGATCGCCCAGTCTATTATTTGTCACATCGGCAATGAGAATGGGTTTGTTGCTGAAGGGCTGTGGTGTTTCGAGTCGAAGAAAACTGGAGATTATCACGAAGAAATGAACGGTGAATCTTTCGAACAGTGGTTTTCCAAAGTTCTACCCTATCTGGAGGATAATGGTGTGATTGTAATGGACAATTCACCTTATCATTTGCGACGGTTAGAGAAGATCCCGACAACGTCTTCAAAGAAGGTTGAAATCCAAAGTTGGCTACGATCAAAGAATATTATCTTTGAAGACTCAATGCTAAGAGTACAGCTACTAAAAATTGTAAAGGAGCGCAAGCTTGAATACCAAAAATATATAGTCGATGAGATTGTCCTTCGCCTGCCTCCATACCACTGCGAGCTTAATCCCATCGAGTTAATATGGGCGGATGTGAAGAATTTTGTTCAAATTTACAGATCTCAAAGTACTTTTTGATGAAGCTTTGAAAAGAGTCACAGTGGAGAAATGGGAGAAGTGTGTTCGGCATGTGATATCGGAAGTCCAGACAAAGATGTGGAAGCTTGATAACATAATAGAGGCACAAATCGAGCCACTGATAATTCAGATTGATGAGGATGACACTACTGATGAAGAGACTAATTCATCCAGTTGAATAATTTTGATTAATATTCCTTTTGATTTTACATAAAATAAAAATTATCAATAAAGAAATAATTACGTCTCTTTTCATATAATGCTTGAGTGCGCTGTGAAAAATCCAATGAAAATCTTTTTATATTACACATATCTGCATTTTTCCCGTTAAACTGTAAAACTTGTGCATTTTACTCGTTATTATAAAAAAAGTTTTCCTAAGTATGATATAGCATTTGCGATCGACAAGATGTTGGTTCTGAATACGACCCTGGCCAATTCTTGAGATTTTCAATATCACGTGCGTAGGGTATGTCAATGTTTACATCCACTTTATCTTGGATTTGAATTTGCTTTAGATCGCGTTATTTGAGTGAAAAATGTCGTTCAAATAACTACTAGGAATAGAAACTATGGTTACAGATTACATACAGTGTGCTGTGGAACAAAAACTAGGAAATTTTTTGACATATGACAATCTTGAAGGTGATTATTGTCAAAAGTTCTACAAGTTAATAATAGTCTTGTTCAGGGAGGTACTTCAGTGACAAAATGTAACTTTCTGACATTTAAAATCACAAAGTTACGTGAAATGTTTCTCATGTGTACAATTCATTTAAAAGTTACAATCTTCTGTCAAATTTTATTTTTTTTTCGAGTGGAGACAACACTGGTTATTGGAGAACATAAATCTGGTACAATAAAGCTAATTTGCCGAGATGATATCGTGATAATTTCTCGACCGTCATTAAATTATGTATCCAAAAAGTTTGGGATAATTTAAATTTACTCCCATGAAAAGATATTAAATTAAACACCTATAACGGCTAGTTAAGCGTTACAACAAAATAAGCATGACTGAATAGAAACACCCTGTACTACCCATTGAATAAATTGAATTTGGTTGCCTACTGACAGTTAAAGATTGTAGGAAGTTCGGCAGGCAAAACATCCTAGACACTCCACAAAAGTGTTAAATGCAGGAATTAAAAAACGGGTTCTCGAAGTTTGAACGAGAAATTGATTTGAATGAACGTATCGACCGGTACACGAAGACTTGGAATGAAGTGTTTCGTCCAAAGTTTGGGATTTTTCTTTGTTGTTTTAATTGATTTACAGCCTGCTGAGTTACAATCAGCAACGGTGGAAAATGGAAACAACTGCAATTGTCTAGGTGTCTTTAAACTTCGCGAAGTTGAAAATATAGATGTTTTGGGTGGTTCCTGATTTGAACTACACCCCAATACTTGGGGTGTAGTTCAAATCAGGCCTACTTGGTTGTTCGACTCTGGAGCAGTATAGTATTTTGAAAAAAATAATAGAAGAAACCTTTGAACCTTTCATCCAATATCTCCAACTCCAATGAAGTACATGAGTCATGAATTTCAGAAAATGCTTGAACAGAATATCATAGAGTCGTCAAGGAGTCCTTTGAGCAGTCCAGTAATCATGGTGCGAAAGAAAGATAATTCATATCGATTTTGTGTGGACTACCGGAAAGTAGATAGTGTTATAAAGCGTGATGCATATCCACTTCCGTTCGTGTCCACTATTTTGGATCTCCTCAGAGATGCTAGATTTTTATCAAGTTTGGATCTTGAATCAGCCTATTGGCAAATAAAAGTTGCTAATATACGGCTTTCACTGTACCTGGAAGAGGACAATTCCAATTCTACAAATTTTATTTGTGATAGTAATCGCAAATCGATTGTGACGTGGCCAAGATCGCGCGCTCAAGTCGACTGGCGCTTTGTGATCGTTCTAGGTGTCGCGTTACTTTGAGAATAAATCTACGGGCTCTCCATAGATAAATACTACCCACTCGTGTATTGACAGTGAGGTGCAAAGTGAATTCAAATAAGGCGATATACATTTGAAAATCAGTTTGAAGTTTTACTTAAAGTGTTGGGTTGTATTAGCAGTGAAAGAAAATTCAATTGTACAGTGTAGTCCATTATTGGCAAACCCATGGAAAGTGGAAGACGAACGAAGAAAAGAGGAAGATGAACGGTGAAGGGAGGAAGAACGATAACGCCGAAATGATGACCTTGAATTATTACTGAATTTTCAGGTTGAACAAGAAAGAGACCATCAAATGTACCTTCATTTATTTGAAGAATTGAAGTCTTCTCAAGTGAGGAAGTATTTGAAAAAATATTTCGGGAAACAAACGGGGAATTTGAAAAGGACTACCGAATGCTTTAAAAAAAATTACCTATATAATAATAAAAAATTCCGGATAAATTTGAAAAAATATTTATTGTTTGTATAGATATATTATCTGATGACTGCATTTATGTTTATGTTGGCAATCATATCCAAATATATATGTATGTATATATGTGTGAGTGTATATATATTATTTTTTTGGTAAGTAGCAACGGTAATGGAACTTTTAGAACTTGGTAGTTCATAGTAGTCTGGGAAAATATGTGGTATAGGATGTTCAAATAAAAACTTAATATTAACTTCAAAACTTTTCTATAACACATTTGCCTCTTGAAATCTGGGTATTGGGGTAGATGTATTATTACAAGTTGGAAACGTTAAAAATAACAGTTTGGTGTTGGGATTAAACTCCACTAATATTCATTATTACTACACCAAATGTTCCAAATAGTAAAAGCTTTTGTTATAGATATCATGGTTCGATGCTACAAACGAAAAACTTCGCATGAAGGACAATATTTGGCAGCTGATCTTAATATTGCAATATCTGATGTTTTAGCAAGCCAAACATCAATTTATAAAGCAGCAAATTCATTCAAAATACTATATGTGACCCTGATATTCCTGTGTAAAAAGTAAACGGGGAGCAAAAAAGCAACTAAAGGACAACTAACTTCAATGTCTACTGCTGATAAATTTAGATTAGCCAATAGTTTCAAAACGACGGAGAAGTGGGGATACAGCCTATCAAAAAAAGTAGTTTTAGAAATCGTTGGAAACTTTTTAAAGACCAACCATGCTGGCACATAATCTATGCCTGGCACAAATTAAGTATAAAAGTTCCACAAAACATCGAATATGCTCTCAAGAAGGCTGTTGATCCTTTTATAATTCACCAACATTTTGAATAATTGAAATCAGTAATGGACGAACACGGTTTTAACGACAAAACTGAAAGATTCTGGGATTTGGACGAGAGTAGCTCGTGTATTGATCCACGGAAGACAAAGTTGTGGTCTTCTGGAAAAGAAAATTCCACTAATACTCTTATGTGTAGTGAAGCCGATCAAAAAGCTCCACCACTTATAATTTATGAAGGTTTGCAGTTATGGAATCAATGGATAGCTCCACCAGGCACTGATTTTTGAAGGTACTGTTTATGCAGCGACAAAGAAAGGATGGATGATAGAAGCCGTTTTCAAAAATTACTTCTTAAACACTATAATTCCATTACTTCCATTTGAAAGACCTATACTAATTATCTATGATCGACATTCCATTCATATGAATATCGAGATTTTAGAAACCGCTATACGAGAAAAAACTATAATTCTAAAACTGCCAACGCATTCCAGCCACCTTTTACATCCACCAGACCTGGCTGTTTTTGAACCATTCAAAGTTAAATGGGACGAAAAACTTGTTTACTGGTCACGGCAGAATGTTGGTCAAAAATTACCAAAACAAATATTTTCCCAATTTTTGTGCACAACATGGAACCAGGTGAACTCAGAAGTAATTATTAACGTTTTTGAAAAACGCGGAATTGTTTCTTTTAATCGTGACGTAATCCCTGAAACATCTTTTCCACCAGGCTTGCCGACAAAAGGAAGATGATAGAACATCCCAGCTTACCGATACACGAATCAAAAGTCGCACAAATTGAAAATGTTGAAAAAATAGTTTTGATTACATTCTTAAAATATTTTCCAGCAAATTATACAAACAAGTGTACGATTGAAAAACCCTGATTGTTTGGAAGATGATATGGTATATGTTATTGAGGAAGAAATTTGTTTGTCTTTAACTGAATGAAGGCAAGAGAAATTCTTCTCAAGCTTCACTAACACCAACTTTTAAATCAACTATAGAAAAGTAAAATCAATTACAACAGACTCATTTACAGAAACAAACTAATCAACCACATTTTAATGTAAGTTTTTCCACACAAAGCTATATCGTTGAAAATTATAAATTGTATTACGTCAATGATAGACTTCACGTGATACCTAGGATTTTTCTAATACTTATTGATTTATTAACGTTTCAACACTGCTAGATGTAGATATTCTTTCTAATTTCTCCTGCCACATCGACATAGCTTGAATATGAGAAATAGACTTTTCATGTTTTGGAAAACCAGTTTTAGAATCATTGGAATTTTTCCAGTTTATAAATCCTGTGGAAGTGTACGAAGTCTGTTTACTTCCATGAGGTAAAAATTACCGGCATTGAAAGCAAAAAGGAGCATCTTTCTCGACAGAATACTGCAACCATTTATAACGCATGAAGCAATCGTAAACAGAGGCATTGTTATGTTGTTCCCTCTTAGCTACATCCCTGATGCAATTTTACAGTTATATACTAGGGAAGATACAAGATTCGAAGGATTTGTTGGGACCAATTCCGATCTCACATAACGTATACCGAAATTTGGTCATATTCAGAGGATTTATTTGTATCAAGGTTTGAAATGATAGCTTTAATTTCTTATTCATTTGTAGGTGTTAGGAACATTGATAATGAAACGTTAGATTCGGGAAATTCAGCCAAGACTTAAGGGATACCAGCAGACAATTTTTCTGCAATACAGGTGAATTGGTCACAAAATAGTTCGAATATCTGGTCAGAATCTTCTGTCTTTTTACCATCTCCAGTGATAATTGCTTATACGATTATAGATACATTGTTTTTATTATATTTTGGAGTTTTGTTTCTGATGTGGTGGACGGACGTGCTGACAACGATCGCCATTGTTAGAGATGGAACTCTCATTGTTGTGACTCTCCGCCGTCATAGAACGTGCCACAAATAAAATTAATATTTTTGTGAAAAGTCTTATAAGTGTTTAAAGAGAAATAGTATTCTCATTCACGCCGGTTGGAAGCCGGGGACCCGATGTCAACGTGGTAAGTGTTTCAATCATACGTCATATGAAAGATATGTGTAAAAAATCAAGTCTCCCGAGCAGGAGACGACTCAACAAAAAATTTTAAGTTTTTTTTTAATGAAGTTTGACAAAAAGGGGTTGCAGCATTGCTTCTGTCAATTTTCAATAGGAGAAGGAGGATGGTCAAATGTGCCCGAGAGGGAAGCAATAAACCTAGTGAGAGAGTGAACTCTTGTATTTTGTTTTTCATGGATCGAGCGTTGAAAAAAAATAATTGTCAAGTTCTTATTTGAATTATATTTGCGATCAAACAGTGAATTATTTGAAAATTTTTGTTGTGATTCATAAATTCAATTTTGAAAATTTATTACAGATATACTGAGTTTATCAAAATATTTATATATGATTCACACACACCTCTGTCAGTTGCCATCTGTCTGATTGAATATTTCTTTGTATTTTGTATGTTTCACTAGCTCTATGACAATTATATAACTTTTTTGGTTACATAGTTCTAAGAGGTACTTTTTAGCACAGAAGGGACATCTTGTGCTATTTCTACAATTTTTTGAAGAATGAACTCGAAACATGTTCCGCACTAAGTTATATGACTGTTTTCATAGACCCTAATGACTGTCAACAAAAGAAATATATTTTATTTCCTTTATTGAGAATTTTCCTGAGTAAAGATCTATTGACTGTTGCAAATATTGTATATGTATTTTTTGTTTAATTTTCTTCACCTATTCAATTTTGAAATGATTATCTTCAAATTATACTCTAAATTTTTTTTTGTTAACGGCTCTTCAAGTTTCATTCTAACTATTTTGATTTTTGGTTTTCTGAATACTTTTCTTTTTCTATTGCATAAGCATTTCATATCTGTTTTGAAATATCTTCTCTCAAATTGAAAGATTCTTTTTCACTATAACATTCAGTTTTGATATGCCCATTTTTCAAACTATGAATGTTATTGATTTTCACTTGAAGTACTGCTGGATCGATTTTTTCTTTCAAGTCACGAATCGTTTTAATTATCTCTTGAACACATTTTAGTTTTATCGAAATATATTTATGTGTGGTATCAACTAAAACATTATTTTGTCCCATACAGTACTCCAAGACATTGGACTTCACAAGACATCAGAATAAGTGAGTTTCAGGGAAGAAATTTGATTTTCCAGATCAGATATTTAGTAAATAATGATAGTTTATTAACCATTTGTTGGTACGCTAGATACATATGGTAGGTCCTTATAGTATAATATTACAATTTGTTACACTAAAAATATACGTACATATGTATAAATGAATAAAATCTGTCAATTTGTACATATGAATTTGAGTGTCTGTATATAAAAATAAACAGTCAATATTGTTAACCATTAAAAAGGTAAAAGTCATGTAAGATCTGTGTCTATCGAATTATCGTTCATAAACTCTTGGTAACTATAATAGCACTTTCTAAGTAAAAAGATTTTAATTTTGTTGTGAAATACCTCATCATTGGTTATTTGTTTCAACTGATTTGGTAACTTATTATAACAACTGATTACATTGTACCGTGGGGAGTTCTCATATAATGAGGTTCTGTGATGTGGAATTCTCAAAAAAGCTCCATGCCGTGTATTATGTTCGTGTTCAGATCCATTTTTCGCAAAAACCGATAAGTTATGTCTTGGGAACATAGCACATTTAAAAATATAAATGTATATGAGGGTTAAAATCTTTTTTTCTATAAAAATAGACCGGCAACTATCTCTGAAATTCAAATTAAATATAAGTATCAGGATTCTTTTCTGAGCCACAAAAACTCTATTTAAGTCTCTTACTCTTCCCCAAGCCATGATATTTAAACTAAGCCGAGAGTGAACTATTGCGTAGTAAATATTTAGGAGGCCTGCTTCATCTGCCATATAGCATAAAAGGCTTTGTTTAGATTTGTACATACATGATTAATTTGTTTTCCCCAATTTAGGTTGGCGTCAAGATGAATACCCAGGAATTTTACTTCTGTGGACGTTTGCAAGTCATCAATTTCGATAACGTTGTGGGGTCGCCATTTCTTGTAAAATTTCACGGCCACTGACTTCGAGGTGTTAAGCATTAGTTTATTTCTCTGACAGCAGGAGCTGAAATCATCGATAACGGTTTTCATGTTGGAAGCAAGTTGTTAATACCACATAGAGATCATCTTCACTGATGGGTTTCCTGATGAAGTTGGTTAATATATATTTACAGTATTCACACATCCAAATTATGATTCCCTTTGACGAGATTATTTTCATTTCTAGGGTTGGCGAAATTTTGACGCAGCTAATATGAAAAAATTGTTTACATTTTCCTTCACACTTAGTAAAATGTTCATTTTTAATTTGATTGCACTTGGAACAAAAACTTTCACGTACACTTTGATGAGCCAGAATTTTTTATATATTGAGTGGATGGAGGAATATAGTTTTGCATTGACAGTTTGAATCTTTGATCTGGATGACTTTCTTTGTTGGAATTTCTACTATTCCAATCCTTCGAAGTTGTCTGCATTACATTTTTGTCATACAATAATTCACTTAAACCATCGAATATTTTGAAAAAATTTGACTGGGATATGTTCCGCAAAATTTTTGTTGATTATATCATTATTATTGTCAAATAACACTTTGATACAAATTTTTTCATGAAACTGCACTGAATGGCAAATATTCTTCTCTTCTTTCTGCTGATGTGCAGCAGAAAAACGAGCACTCTTCCATTCATTTGGAAAAAAATTCCTATAAAAGGATTGGTTTATTAATTAGATCAATATGCATCGCATCAAAAGAAATAACTAACTTTATTTGTGAAATTAATTCAAATCGAATTGAATGTAACACAATTTTATTAAAAAAACTATTATATAATACATTGACAAAATTTAAACTTAAGACGATTCTTCCACATCTTGCAGGTGACTTTTATTCGTTCGAGGGGGTACAATGTAATTGAAGGATTTTCCTAATTTTTCAAAAGCTTCTTTGGCTCTGAGCACTGCTGTCCTATTTATATGATTTACAGAGACTTCTTTGGTTGCTTGTTCGAAGGTACTGACTACCTCCTCATATTTTTGCTTATTAACTAACACATCTAATAAACAGCTGTAAGCATTTCCAATGGCACCTTCTGTAACGTTACTTGTTTTCAAATGTTGAATGAGCTTTTTGACTAATTCTTCATTGCTCTCTTCCCTTGATATCTGAACAATTTTTTGAAACATTATTCTTGGGGAATTTTTCAAATAGTCATTCCAAATCTGCTCGGCTTTTTGGTCATTTCCGCAAATGAAGAAGTAGGTCCAGAGAACATTCAGGGGGCCAATAATTCCTTTTTTGGCATATTTGATAGCCAAATCCTCATCTGTAAATCAAAGATGGATTAGGTAACATTGACTTGAAGAAGGCTGTATAAAAGAATATGGGGAAATAAATTTTAAATGAACTGATCTGGTTTAAGAGACTAATAGCTAATCTTCTACATGACAGGTTAAGTGATGTCTATATAAGAGAGCTGTTCAAAAAGTATTCATAATTATTACCATGAAAATAATCCAATAAAGAAAATGTTACACCCGGGCTGAATAGTCCCGGCCATAAAAAAACGCGTTTTTTTGTTCAAACTTGGCTTTATTCATCAATGTAATCTCTACAATTCCAGCGCCACTCTAACATTTCAATACTACTTTTGTAGAATGATTCATCTTTTGCCTTAAAATAGGCCTCATTTTAGCAATAACCTCTTCAATTGAGCAACATTTCTTACCAGTGAGCATTTTTTTGAGGCCTATGAACAGAAAATAGTTGCTGAAGGCCAGATCTAGGGATATATGGTGGATGTGGAAGCAATTCCAAGCCCAATTCATGCAATTTTGCCATTGTTTTGATTGACTTGTGACATGATGCATTGTCTTGATGAAACACAATTTTTTCTTTGCCATATGCAGTCGTTTCCTTGCAATTTCGGCCTTTAAACGCTATCTAATATTCACTATTGATGGTATTTCCCTTCTCAAGATAATCGATGAATATTAAACCACCATTCTGGAGTGAAGTGAAGGATCCACGTTTCATCTATTGTCACATATCGACTCAAAAATTCAGGTTTGTTCTTGTTCGCAACTTCACTTTTCGATCATTCAAAACGATTTTGTGGACTTCCTTATAACACTTTTCAAATCATTGCTTCGCTTGGCAATGTAAAATCAAAACACAAAATTGTTTTTGATCCACTGTTTTGAAAATAACAAAAGTAGTGTCATTCTTAGCACAATAACTCACAAACTTAGGAGTAGAATATCATGAAATTTCAATAGCTTTCTGAAGGTTGGTACTAAGTGAAAGAGCGGTGAATACAATAAGACTAGCGCCATCTAAGTGTTAGGTCCAAGACTTTTCAGCCCATGTAGTATTTAACCATGTCTACATCTACATGACAGAACATTCAATTCTGCAATTACTTTTCAAAACAAATATATTACAAAATCAGCCAAAAAAATTGTCACTTTTTAATATGTATGATTTTTTTGAAATATTTATGTAACCATGTGAATAATGACAGATACAGCTCTCGAATACAAAATTCAAAATTGACTTAAATGAAACGAAAATATAATCTACTTGCAAATAAAACTGCAACTCGTTCAAACTTCTAATTTAGAATTTTATGAATATTGCTTGAACAATCATTGCTATACCACAGCCTGGAAAGAAGAATTGAGAATTACCATTCCAAAGCCCAATACAGAAGACCTGCAACTATAGACCCATTACTCTTCTGCCACTGTTAGGAGACCAACCTACACTCGGCGGCGCTATTTTTGAATATCAACAAAGCTTTTGATAACATTTGGCATGAAGGAATGTTGTATAAACTTCAAGGATTGAATACCTCTATCCATCTTATATGTATAACAAAAAAAATATTTTGAGAACAGATCCCTCACTGTCAGGGTCAGAAATTCATTCTCTCAAAAATTTGCTTCCCAACAAAGAATTCTACAAGGCTCTCCGTTATCTCCTCTTTTCTATAATATAAACTGCCATGATATATAGAATCACAACTTGGTAGACAAGAATGAATTCAATAAAAACCTTTACATCTTACAGTATGTAGACGAAACTGCCTTAGTTTCACAAAACTGCACGCTAGCACTCACAACAGCAAAGCCTCGTTGACAAGACAGAGATCTGGTTCAATAAATGGTGATTGAGACCAAACCAGAAAATATCACAATTTATCACTTTTTAGCACAACCCTTCAGAGAATCTACCTACAATAAACATCAACAACGAAATGGTAGGAAGCAGCCAATCAGTAAAATACTTGGGAGTTAACATTGACCACAAAATCAACTTGAACAGTCATAGAAAAATGATTAAAAAGAAATGCATCGATAGAGAAAAACACTTTCCGAGTCTGACATTGAAGAAAAGAGGAATCAACACTGAAACTGCAACTAAAATATATAAAATAATCTATCGTCTACTTCTTGAATATGCACACATAGTTTTAAGCTGTCGTAATCCTGCATTGAAGAATCTCCAAACAGCTGAAACATCTACACTAAGGAGTATTACCGAAATGCATCACCCTCAGAACATACAATCCTTCAAACGCACTGCTGTATGAAACTAAATAAGTAAAGCCTATGAAGGAGAGACTATCAGACTTAGGAAACTGCTTTGCAAAAAACGAAATACCCAAAAAAACTATTTGGGAAAACATCAAATCACTTTCTTAATTTATTATACTCTTTTCCTCTTTTTTTCCACAAATCTAATGTACCTAAATTCTATTATGTAAGAATATGTAAAAACCACTGTAAATATTTGAAAATTGTACACTGACTGAAGCACTTCGGTCGATGGCCCTTTGGTATTAACCAATAAATGACATTCATTATTATTATTTACTATTAATACTCACATTGTTCAGAGAGATGAGGATATTTTTCCAAAATTCCATAAGCTCCCCCTCTAGGAAACTGCTCTTTCAAACTATCTAGATCCTTCTCCGTTGCTTTTTCAATCTTATCATTCAAGGTTTGCAAGTAATCGTGTGCCTTGCCAGCTACCAAGTTCGCTTGGCACATCCTATTATCGAAAGATAAATTTCTTTTTACTGGAGAATCGATTTTTGATCCAATTATACTGAGAGTGTCTACATCACCATTATTCGCTAATTTATTAAGTAAAAATCTAAACACTCTATTGGTTGGAATTTTACCCTTATTTAGAACTTTTATGCATATATCTGCAGCATCTGATAACCGCTCTGATTGTACTAACTTTTCAATTAAATTTGACAGATCTACAATGGTGACTGGATCTCTAGTTGTATTTACCAATTCTAGAGCTTCATTCAGTGTTCCCCGTTTCAAATAATTTCTCAAAATATTCTGCGAATTCACTGCCTCGGCAGACATCATGGTTGGTTCTGAAGACGATTCTTTGGGAACAACAAAAGGAACGTGTTGGCCTTTTTTCTGTAAGAAACTTCCAAGGGTATTCAAAAACATGTCGGTAGGTGCCAAATCTTCTTCCTGCATCTGAGTCCACAGCCCTAATGCCTTCTCGGTGTCGTCTTGTTTCATATAACTCAACAGCAACTGAAAGTAGATATCACTACGATCGATGTGATTGAGGTCTTTGGTAGCATCTTTCAAACCTTCCAGCGGCTTTATTAGGCCCTCTTGCTGGTAACGTTCACAAGCGGAATTTATCCTTTGAGGGCGGCTTTGTAATCCAGGAGTCTCTAAAATTTTCCTTGCCTGCCTAATGCGACCACATTCAACAAACGCGAATACAAGATCATAAAGGCTGTTCACTTCTCCGTGGACAGTTGTACTTAGATCGGTGAGTTTTTGCAACCTGTCCGCATCTTCGGCTTGAATGAGCTGACATGCTAATTCATTCTTCCATGGTGTAACCTTGTACTGATTCACACACCACTCGAACTTGTCTACTGCTTTGTCTAACTCTTTGTTGACCAAGTGTACTTTTATCAAAGGTCCCAAAAGGACGTTGTTGGGTTCCATGAATTCCTTTTTCACTAAAACATTGAATAACTTGTTGAGCTCCTCCACTTTTCCCTCCTCGGCTAGGCCATTCAGGAACCTCCAGAGCAACGAGATATAATTGAAATTCTTTTCCGAATTGGTTATGTCCCTTTTAGTATTTTCTAGGATGTTGATTCCGTCTTCAAAACGTCCTGAGTTAACCAAGAGGTTAGCTAGTTTGATCAACTTAGTATCATCTAGCATAAAGTTTTCTTGCTCTGTCTCTTTGATTTTTTCATAGTTTTCCATGGCTTTCTCAAGGTGACCGTGATGAGCATAAAGATCTATCAACTGTGCATATATTCCAGTGGTAAAAACAAAATCACCTTTTTGCAAGACCTCCATCAACTTTTCAGCTTTTTCCAGTTCTTTTGCGCGACAATACAGAGTGAACAATTGCCTTTTCAAGCCTTTTGTTTCTTGATTCTTCGCTTCCAAATTCCCAATCAAAGTTTCCAACTGGTCTATATTCATTTGGTGTGAAGGTGTATAAATAGGTGGTTTTTTCAGCAACGGTACCGGAGTTAGTTCACCAGAACTTAATTTTCCCAACAAGGTTGAAATCTTATTGGTCATTTTCTCACCCATTTTTTCTTGAATTTTCTCAGCAATTGGAGTTGAAATACTCAGACCATGCTCTACAAGCTTTTCCAAGACTTTATCAATTTTGTCCACAAATTTTCTGTGGTTCGAAGACAGATCTAGAATAAATGTACCCACAATTTCTGAATTATCAAGTTTTTCCTCTTGTCTCTCGTCTTCAACATCATCTTCTTCTTTATTATTTGAAGATATGGCATTTCTTTTATCTGAACCTTCATGAACAGCCCTCAAAATATCAATATAGGACTGGATGTCATACGTTTTATAGAATGAATTAGTGAGAGGTCTTCGAATGAATTCAGGATTGTAATAGACTTGTACACGTGTAGCAATGGCAGCAGCTTCCTTTATTTCATTCTTTTGCAATAAAGAAATGACCAGTGAAGAAGCAGCACTCCCAACTGATATGTTGCAGTCTCTCAGTATCGCTAATATATCACTACTACTACCTTTGAGATTAGGTATAACATATTCTCGAACAGTTTCTGTACTTGGAAATATACCAAAACCTCGCATTTTCTGCAAAACTTCAATAATACTTTTTCCGCTTGTATCGCTTGCTTTGGAGAGGATGAGAGGCCAAAAATAATGTTGTCTCACCGGTATACCATGAGATTGTAATTTTTCCATTAAGGGATATGCTATTTCATCATACCCAAGTTCTAGACTTGTTTCCGTGGCTCGAAGTATCCCTTTTTCGTACATTCCCTCTTCTTCCAAGCGAGTACAAAAGTCAATAATTACACTTAAGGGTCTTTTAGCTTTTACCAACTGCCTAACAAAAAATGCGCCAGTTGGAGCAGGCGAACCGTCCTCTTTTGTTCCTCTTTGCATAGACTTCAAAATCATAAATGCTGCCTCTTCATAACCCCTGTTAACCAATCTCAATATCAGATTAATTGCATCTTGATTATATCCGACAGATTTTCGGACTTTCGCCAAGATGGTGGGAATGTGCTGTGTATGACCATTTGTTGCTAATGAATAAACTATGTCGAGTAAATCTTTGTCAAGCAGGAATATTTCCTTTGTATCACATTCAGCGATGAGTTTATTAACCATTTCAATATCTCCTTTAGCAGCGTAACCACCCAGAAGAGTTGTATAAGTATCTGCGCTTGGTTCCAGACCTGCTTGAATCATTACATTTATTATGCCCTGTGCAGAATCCATATCCCTGAAACAAATTCAAATTTTTTGTCTTTTCTACAGTTGACTTTGTAGTGTTTCTCATACATGTTATTTACTTAATACATGTGTATGTGATCATTAATTTATTAATATTATATAGTTAATACATGTGTATGTGATCAATAATTTATTAATATTATATAGTTATACATTACATTTCAGCAGAAAAATGTTTGTCGACAAGATGTATTTCTTATTACATTAAACGTATCTCTCTTCGTCTTTCATATAATATTTGTACCTCTGAAAAAAAAATGCATTCAACTGAAAAAATAGCGAATGCGCTCTTAAAATAGTTCATTCATAAAAAGCTGATACTATATTTATTGAGTTTCTGTAACGTAGCAATTTGGTCGAGTAATCCTCGATATAGGATTGAGTTTATTTTATTTGTGTTCTATACCATCTGAGTATTCCTATTGTTATTATAAACTTTTATCTCTCACCTTCAACAGTTACTATATTTACTATTCCTTTACTTCTAGCACTAGTTTTTGATAAACCACAAAATATAGCCAAATACGTTTATTCAGCGATATCTAATGCGCATTTAGGGAAACATTTTTTCATTGGTCCATTTGAAACATTATCTTTTTTATTAGTTGAAGATGAATCAACATAGAAGAATAAGTGCGATTTAGAACTGAATGATTTATGTTCGGTGATAAAAAGAGTATATCTCGATGAAAATTAACGGAGATGAGAGTTTTGCACGAAAATGATGCCCATTGCCAAAATAACTGCAATCAATCCACAAGATTATCGATATTGTGTCCACTCAGATCAGTATAGTGAGTTTGTTTTTATTCTTAGTTCCCCTCCCCCACAGTCTCCAGACGACAAAATGATAAAATGTCCAATACCGATACCATTTTCACTGTAACGCAGACAATATCCATGACAATGACAATGAACGATTGGTTGATATTGCAATCAGAATATTTCAAAATTATTCAAAATTATTGGCCTCATCAGCGTGGTGCAGCCAAGTGCAAAAAAGGGCAACACTTTTTTGCCGAAAATAAGAAACAACACATACGCACGGAGTCAACAACAGGGGCCCACCGCACATTTGTGGTTCCAGTTAGAAGACCTAGAATTCCCAGGCTACATCTAACATGACCACCCGGATGTCACGCACGTAGGCTATAGCTACCTGCGTGACATCCGGGTCCAGGATATAAACAAAGATATAGATGCTATCGAGTGTGTATGATATAGATAAAAAATGAAACAATTCGTGGACACAACACTCCAAAAATGGGGCAAACCGCGGACACGGCTATTGGCCTCATCAGCGCAGTGTAGCCAATTGCAAAAATGGGCAATAATTACTCCGTGCGTATGTGTTGTTTCTTATTTTCGGCAAACAAGTGTTGCCCATCTATGCAGTACAAAAAAAATAAATTGTTAGAAACATGTGAAAAAATAAAAGAGCAAAAGGGTAAAAATACTGGCACCAAATCAAAAAACTATCCAAATACAAGGCAATAAATAACATCACTAATCTACAAGTTAATGGTCGTATAATAACAACAGATGAAGATAAGGCAGATACATTCTCAACTTATTTTGAGAATGCTTTCAAAAAAGAAAATTAGGTTAATTTTGACCAAAATCAATATGAGTCTGTCAATAATTGGTACAGAAACTTTTTCAAAAATATCCCAATGCAAAATGATCAAGAAATAGATGAAGATTTATATTATAACATCATCAGTGAGGAAAAAATACAGCCCCAAGAATAGACAATATATCTATGAGAAGTACGAGCCCTAGAATCAAACATACACAAACATATCTCCATCTACGAATATTGTTTGAACAATCATTACTATCCTACAGCCTGGAAAGAAGGATTAATAATTGCCATTCCAAAGCCCAATACAGACCTGCAACTACAGACCCATTACTATTCTTCCAGTATTAGGAAAACACTTGGAGAAAATCATCAAATATCAACTCGGTGAACATATCAATCAATATACTAATGTATCAATTTGGTTTTAGAGAAAATAGAAATACAACCCACCCTTTAGTAATTGTAACATCTAACATACAAACAGCAAACCTAAACTCTGCGGAGCTATTTTTGGATATCAATAAAGCTTTTGATAGCGTTTGGTATGAAGGAATGTTACATAAACTTCACGAATTGAACACCCCTATCCATCTTCTCTGTATAATAAAACAATATTTTGAGAACAGAACCCTCACCGCCAGAGTCAGAAATTTATTCTCCAAAAAATTTGCTCAACAATTCTCCAATTCTCTATAATATATACTGCCATGACAATTACAACTTGGAAGACAAGAATGAATTTAATAAAAACCTTTACATCTTACAGTATGCACTGCCTTAGTTTGACACAACCGAACGCTAGCACTCACAATAGAGGAACTGCAAAATCTCGTCGACAGGACAACGTTCTGGTTCAATAAATGGAGACTGAGACCAAACCCGGAAAAATCACAATTCATCAGTTTTCATCACAACCCTTCAGAGATGCTACCAACAATAAACATCAACAACGAAATGGTAAGAAGCAGGCAATCAGTAAAATACTTGGGAGTTAACATTGACCACAAAATCAACTTGAACAGCCATACAAAAATGATTAAAAAGAAATGCATTAATAGAGCAAAACACTTTCGGAGTCTGACATTTAAAAAAAGAGGAATCAACACTAAAACTGCAGCTAAAATATATAAAATGATCTGTCGTCCACTTCTAGAATATGCACATGTAATTTATTCAAGTTGTCGCAATCCTGCATTAAAAAATCTCCAAACAGCTGAAACATCTACACTAAGGAGTATTACCAAAATGCATCACCCTTAGAACATCCTACACAATCCCTCAAACGGACTGCTTTATAGAACTACAAAAGTAAAACCTATTAAGGAGAGACTATCGGATCTAGGAAACCACTTTGCCAAAAATGAAACTAACTTGGAGACCTTACAGGCATTATGTAGGGAAAGAGCTGAAGGACCACCATCCAAATTTAAATATTCGGAAAAAACTATTTGACAAATATTGTCAGAAATATAATGTATTATGTATCTATTATGTATATATTTCATGTATCTATTATGTAAGCATATGTAAAAATCACTGCAAATATTTAAAAACTGTACACTGGCTGAAGGACTTCGGTCGATGGCCTTTTGGTATTCACCAATAAATGACATTTATAATTTATTATTATTTGTTGCCCATCTTTGCACATTTCTACACCGCGCTGATGAGGCCAATAGCCAGAAACACGTGTCCGCGGTTTGCCCCTTTTTTTGGAGTGTTGTGTCCACGAATTGTTTAATTTTTTATTTATATCATACATACTCGATGTATATGTATATATGTTGTTGGTTGGCCAATCAACCAATCGGTCAAACCACCAACACTGACATAAAAACTTGGCNGTGTTAGATCTTCTCTAGGAATGTGTATGGTTTTGTTTAATATATTGAATGTGAGATCTTGTTGTGTTTTGATTTGTACTTGTTCCTCGATAAGTGATTTATGACTGTTGAATTCATGGATGTTCAAGTTTTCCCAAATGTCCATGCGGTTTCCCTTGTTGATTTGTTTTATTAGTTTTAAGTTCTCTGGTCGGGGGAAATTATGTTTGTTTTGTATGGCGTGTGTTGCATGGTTTGATTTATATACTGTTGGATTTATGTATGCCTTTTTGTGCTCATTGTACCTTTAGATCAGTTTTTTTTTGGTTTGGCCGATATAGAATTTGTTGCAGTCCGAGCATTGTATACTGTATATCCCGTTTTGGTCTTTGTCTTCTTCTTTTTCATAGTTGTTTATTTTTTGTGTTATCTTCGTGTTCGGCTTGTATGTGATGTTGATGTTCAGTGGTTTGAAGATGTTTGTTAGTTTCTTGGCTTGGTGTCCTACGTACGTAAATGCTGTCCATCGTTGTGTTGTTTTGTCTGTTGGGGTAGCTTAATCCTTGTAACTGATATTACAAATATTTCAAACTCATAAATATTTACTTACGGGTGACAAAACCACGTGCACCTAGTGAAACTAAAAAGTTATCAACGATAACTGTTTTCAACTGTCAAACACCTTCCGATAGATGCAAGCAACGCTGGTGTTAACCGAACGGATTCCGAAATTTTACGAATGTACCAACCAACCCCTGTTCCCAACCAACCTCGGTCTCCCCTACCTTGCCAACTTGTCAAAAAACAATAATATTTCAAAGTATCTTCTACCTACTCATTATCTTTAACGCCATGTTGAAAAAAGCTTTATCCAGAGTATAACGAATTTGTCCGGTACACAAATCAGGAAAAAATCAGAAATAGGTGACTATACACCGATTGCACTCATCTCTGTATTCTCCAAACTTTTTGACATAATTTTATTCGACATGATTTATGCACACGTAAGAAATTTAATATCAGAATTTTAACATGGCTGAAATTGAGGTGAACTGTATCGAATCTCTTGCACCTTTACTCAATTCATATACAACTCTTTGGATAATAGATGCCAAGTTGATGTAATCTATACAGATTTCAGCATGGCATTTGATAGTTTCCCATCAACAATTAATACTGAAGTTGGATATATGTCGAGTATGAAGGTAAAACGTCGTATGCATTTTTCGCAGAGTCGGGGTTCCCCAATGATCTAATTTGGGGCCGCTGTTAGTTTTGCTTTTTATAGATGACATATGCGCTTCGATACAATCAACAAAACTGATGATTGCTGACAATTTGAAGCTTTTCAGAGAAATACGTGATTCATGTAATTGTATGTTGCTCCAGAGGGGTTTGAACTCCCTCCAAAAGGAATGTAATGAGAACAAACTCTTCAACTTACATTTTTTTCAAGGGCAAAATATAAGCACTACAGGAAAAGCTTTAGGGCGCTCTCAGAGCGGTGCTCGTGCGAAAGTAGCGATTCATATTGGAATTGAATCGCTGGAGATTGAATCTATTTGGAAAAACGTTCTCA